AAATATATCTTAGTGTCTTAATTGTTTAGATTTTTATAATGCATTAGCTTTTTGTCGATCCACTGGTTCACATTTAAAAATATGTAGCAAAAATAGCAGATGGGCTTATTGAAAAAGCAACTTTGTTCTCTGCCAGCAGGGGCAAGTTCAAGCTCAAACCGGTGTACAACGTTTTGCTACGGTTTCCGGTTTGAACGACATGTTTCCTGGAAACGGTGTGCAACGGGGTTTGAGATGCGTTTTCTCATTTGGTGGGTGTGTCAAAATGTCAGCCCATTCAGCAGCAGCATGTATATAAACCACGTGGTATTAAAGAGACAGCTCGCACAATGTAAATAACATCAAAATAAATTAACAAGAGCAAGTATATTGTTTGCACATGTTTATTTACATTAAAGGCAAAATAACTGAAATAATTAGAGCACAGGTATAGATCTGGAACTTCTTTAAGTCTGTCTAAATATCATTTAGTAATTGCAATGTCTTCTGGTCCATATCCTTTCCTTAATGTAACAAAAATACTATACATATTTTGATATATTTTGCTCTTGTATTGTGGAGTGACACTTTCATAAACTTTTCTATTTAAAACGTATTAAACACATATTTATACCGATTTCATCAGGCTCCGAAAATTCTTTAAAAAAAAAAAAACACAAAGAATGGCCTTCTCAGCTACCATTAGTTGCAACTCTTGCGTCATCAGAACAGGGTGTTCAACGCACCACCGTTTCAGTTTAAAAAACGTTTCGCACCGTTTTGTCGGGGCTGAACGCAGCCCTGGGCGCAAGAGTTGCAACTATGGTAGCTGAGAAGGCCATTCTTTGTGTTCTTTTTGAAGAATTTATTTTGCGTGCCGAAATCAGTAGAAATACGTGAGAGAGAGCTCATGTGCCAAGCCCCAGCTGGCATCTCTCTCCCAGCTGAGCGGCTGCTTCAACACAAACAGCCTTTCATGAAGCGAGAGCTTCCATCTTGTCTCAGAGAACATCCTGCTCTTCACCTCCACAAACTCTAAAGCTTCATTATATTAGAGCAGGGATGGGCAACTTTGATAGTGACGAGGGCCAGCATTTTTTTCTCCTTTATACCAAGGGGCCAGATTACTAATCCATGTCCACACACCTTTTACACAGTCTTACTCAATTTCCTTTTTATTGAAGGAAATTGAAGTATAACTAATGTAATTTGTTTTTAAAGATTTTATTAAGTATAAAACTTGTGCAGTTAGGCTAATTCAGAAGGAAAACTTTGTTGTCAGTGGACAAAAATATTACCCTGACTAGCCAATGTAAACATTTCAATTGCATTGTCTGTAAATTTGCAACAAACAAATATACAGAGGTCCTTTTTTTATCAGTAGCCTACAGAACATTCTCAAAACAACCTAAAAGGACAGTTAAAAAGGGCTTAATTTAAAAAAAATAGTTATTCTAAATGGTACCATAAAATAACCTGGTATCTAAAAGAGAACATCCCAATCGAGTGAAGGGATTTGTGGAAACTGGTTCCTAATTATTGTGATCCAACATTTGCCTCGTTTTTCAGGATGAAAAGCCAAACATTTCAGGTGAAGGATAATCCACTTCTTACCTCCGAGACGGTGTTATGATCTATATGACCTTATTATTTTTATTGTGAGTATTAGGCTTATCATTATTGCTGATCACTTTTGTTGTGCTATGATATTGTAATATTTACCATTATATAATCAGAGGATTATAGAAAAGTTTATGAAAGTGTGACTTCACAATGCAATAGCAAAATATATAAATATGTATAGTATTTTTATGTTACATTAATCAGTGTCTAGCATCCTACTACGCTGAAATTAATAGGGGAGCGGCTGGAAACTAGCGACCTCTCCTGGTTGGAGATAGTATTAACATCATAAACTGAAAGCAATCTTTACGTGACTTGCTTTTCAGATGTTTTAAAATGTATCATCCGAGTCTAATATGATCCAGCAGGCCATACTAAAAGACACTGCGTACACGGCCCGCGGGCTGCCAGTTGCCCATCCCTGTATTAGAGCATCAACTAAATGCACAGCACACAAGTTTATCATTTTCTATCAAAGCACAGCATGTTCAAAAGTTCACAGCAACTTAGAGGAACTAAAATATATCCCAAACAAGTTCTTGATTAACAACTACACCCATGAAAAACAGTGTGTAATGGAAAGTGTCGTAGAGAATGCAGGGCAGATGAAGTGTAATTGAAAGCAGCTGTGATGGTGCGGCAGTTTGAGGCTCGCTGGAGAAGGACAGGCTGCAGTGTCCTGGTTAGCAGTCCCAGATAAAGCAGCACTCAGAGGAGCAAGAGCAACCCGCCTCCTTCCTCTGAAATGGGTCAGAACCTTCATTTCCATGGCAAATAGAACAAGTGCTGCCGAATGCAAACTCAAAATATAGTGCATACAGAGATCTCATTAGAATGATGTATTCAGAAGCTTCTGACCAGTTTTATTTGAAGAAGCACTAACATTGTGTCCTAACCAGGCACAACAACATGCAATTTGCCTGTTCATGATGAACATGGAAATGATGTGCAGCATGACAATTAGAGGTTTATTTGCCCAATAAACAAGCCCCAAGTTTATTTGTATAGCATGTTTCCCAAACATCAGAAGTTTCAGTTTCACTTTAAATAAATTTGATTAGGCCTGACATTGATAATAAATTGAGTTTATAATGAATGCCACTAGAATTTGTTTGCTTTGTTCTTATATTTCTCAGATTTTCTCATTCCTGTTCTGTTCTGTACACTGTAAAGGATTTGTTGTGGAGTGAGGGGAACTGAAATACATGTTTATGTTTACTAATATTTTACATTATTTCTCAATTTAATAATAAAATGTTAATTTTAACATTTATAAAATAGACCAATTCCATTATTTTTTTTTCTCTCAAAAATTCAATTCTGACTCGGAGTGACATAGTCAGGTGCGATTTATTTTCCGGAAAATATGGTAATATCATCTCTGTGGAGCAGGATTTTGGACCAATGAGATTTCACTGTGGGTGGGGCTTGTAAGCGCAATGGCGCATACATTAAAACCAAGCAACCAAGAAAATGTTTCGGGCACTTGCTGCTTTGATCAACAGTTGCTTTACTGTGTTGCAACCTGGTTAGGACACACATAAAACAAACAAATAATAATGCAAAAACAGTAAAATCTTACCAGTTGTAGTATATCTTCATCTTTTGGCATCACACACAACTCCAAAAATGTATGACTGGAAGTGGAAATAAATATTTAGGGCCACAATCAGACATGTATCAGGACACATCTAAATGAATTCTAACGCACTCTCACCTGTTCTGGATGAGCCCTATGACCTGCGAGTACGTCTTCCCAATGATGCTCTCGCCGTTCACTTTCACTATCCTGTCCCCTGTTGATAAAGTTAAATTACCAGGTTTTTGATTATCAGAAATCGATAAGCAAAACGAAACGATGTGCTGTACATTTGTAATGATGGTGTAATTACCAGTGCAGAGTCCGGCGCTGTGAGCAGGCCCTCCCTCTTTGACCTGCTTCACAAAGATCGTGTCCATGGGCTCCAGTCTGTTCCGCGGTCTCCCTGGCAACAACAAAAGCAGCAGAGTCACGAGTGGCCCAGATCACAACAAACCAGCTCCGGGAAGTAGCGAGCGGTCACAAGATTGAGCCACAATAAATATTTTAATCACACCAGTTTTTCAAATGAAACATTTAACCCATTAATAGAGCAGAAATGCTTGGACTTCATCTGGAAGTGACCCAGCATTCAATGTGACATCCCTCAGTCCCTGAGGGAGTGCTATACTTGGCTTCATCCTGACATAGTATGCCAGAACACAGATCACAGATCTAACAGTGAACAGCTAACACCACAGATTCCCTGAGGATGACAGCTATGAGACGCTTAGGTCCATGTCTACTTGCACTGAAAGGAATGAGGATCTCTCCACAACAGCCCATTATTTTGTTCAATATCTCTCTGTTAGCCTGTTGAATGGGAAATAAACCTGTGGATTCTGCATAATGCATACACCATCCAAAGTCGGACACCAACTGCCTTGAAATCCACCGTCAGCATGCTAAATCTCTCTTTGAGGCTGCAAAAAATATTAAACAGACCACTCAACCTCATTAATTAGCTACTATGGTTTTGATCTTGATCTGTTCCTAATTACAATTTGTTTTTCACAGCCATTCCATTTGTTCAGACAGTTAATATCCGCTATATCCACATTGGTTGCTATAGTAATAATGTCAGCACAATGCTAAGAGTGTGTTAAAATAGACACAGCTACACCCACAGCAGCACAATGCGGGTGACATTACAAACACTTTAGAATAGGGAAGCTATTCACCACCAACTAGTTGCTCATTAGCATTCTGGCTGTTTATTAGTACTTATAAAACAAATATTAATGCATTATAATGCTTTACTTACAATCAATAAGCAGCAAATTAGGAGTTAAAATCTGTTTAGCTCTCTCTCTATATGGACACACACATATACATAGCTTTGAAATTCTGCTTAGCAATAATGTATTTGGGGAAGAATGGACAATGTTTGGAGAACAATTACTACATTCACGGATTCATTAACCTCAAACATGTTGCTAATGATCAAATTGTTTCTGATTTCAGGCAACAAAATAGAATTACTATTAGGCCTGGGCGATAAAACGGTGTCGATATTTATCGACGGTACACCTTCTTCGATAACGATATAAAAAATGTTCGATATAGTGCACGATATAGGCTACGTCGCAAATTTTTTATTCCTTTTCACTGCGTCTCTTATGTTTTTAAATACAATTTAAAAAATACAATCTGCGTGATGGGCGATTTGGCTCTTTGTATTAAGCAATGCATAAATACATGATACTGTTTTGTTCATAATTGTTTATGCAATTTCAGAAATTATATTTGATTTATATGAGTTAATTTACACGTAATGCACGTTTTTTTATAGACAGTTATTTCCATGCATTGACATTATGTGCTGCATTATTTTGCTCATTGCGCCCTCCTGTGGCCTCGGGAGACAAGACAAAAGTTTTTTTAAAACCTATTTAATCTGCATACAAGACATTAGAAATTAGATATTTGTTTAATTTTTATTGCGTGTTTGACTGTTAAAACAAAAAAATATTTGTTGTTTGTCTCAATAAATTGGGTTAATTTAAGTGGTTACATTTAAACATTAAAGTGAGTGGCTAAATGTAAACATTTTTTTCTATTGCTCTTTTTAAAAAAGGTTATAAAAAAATTCAAAAATTATCGATACCGAACGATATGAAACATATCGTTGATACATTTTTAGATATAGCGCCCAGACCTAATTACTATTATATTATATTCACATTTAACCATTCACATTGATTGCACCAACTTTGCTGCCCTTGTTATCTCTCCTATATAGCATTATTTTAAATATTAAGCAGCACAACTGTTTCAACATTGATAATAATAAATGTTTCATGAGCAGCAAATCAGCAGATTAGGCTATGTTTACACGACAATGGTGCAGTCAAAAACGGAAACGTTTTTCCCTTGCGTTTTTAAAAAGTTTCACGTATACGACGACGTTTTCAAAACAATTTCCGTTTAAGTACAGTACAATGCTTCGAAGCCTGAGGCATGATATTCATACTTTGCAAATGTGAAGAGCACAGACATCAACACTGAGTATAAATAAACCAGACAGCAGCAAATATTATGTAGCTTTGTTGCAGTTTGAGATCCAGTTATTAAGTCGTGAGGGAATTCTATTTATACAGACAATTTGCATACTATGCACAGTAATTTTCATACTATGCACAGTACATATTGCAAATAAATACCACAATAATACTATGCTGACAGCCCTGCTTCTCTAGCAATATGAAGCTTTTGTAAAGATTTAATGTGCCCTCTTGTGTTCACTGTCATACACTGCAGTTGTCAAACATAAAAACACATTTACCTCAGGAATATCAAGAAACGCACCCAATACTGCCATGTTTTTAGCATTTGGCACATAATTCATATTCATAGTAATAACATCACACAAACCAAAAAATGTGTTCAGGTGTTCAGAAATAACAAAACACTCAAAATAGTAATGCACCACTGATGATAAATGAAACTAATCCTAATGATTGCTTTGCCACAACCACGAGAAGTGAAATTTGACATAGATGTATGTCAGTTATGCAATATGTACACTGGAGTTCAAGTTTCTTTCTGTTGCTGAGAACATGAAACGAGGACAATGACAACGGCAACATGGCAAAATACAGACACAAATGATTCTATGTACAGGTTAATAAAAACAACCTAAAACCAGCAAAGAAATTCACAACTACAAACCTGTAACCACATTTTCAGGCAGATAAAAAACAGGCTGGAACATGAACATTTCTGGTTCTCGCATACCATGCAAATAGAATATTTTACTATTACGTATGCTGATGTACGTTTTTTTGTCTTACTATGTTTTGCATACAAAACCAGAGGCACTTTAGTGATGTTATGCAAGACTCGTGAGCTAGTTTGGACTCTTCTAGGTAATGTAAATCAAGTTTCATAGTGCTATGCTCTCTTATAAGCTAGAGATTGTTCAGAAGATAAAATAAGTTTTTATATTTGTGCTGCATAGAATATAATGAACCACAATAGCAGTTCCTGTTTCAATTCCATGCTTTTCAATGACCAAAGTAAAAGCATGCAGTGGATTCAAATCCTTAAACCTTGGCAGCTACAAAAGAAAAAGTGAACTGGATACAGTTTATGCTATAGACGTGAGAAGAGATGTGACTTTACTTCTCTTTTACACAGCTCTACATTGTAGCATTATGCTGGATTAGTCTATTTTAAAGAAACCCTGAAATATGTAGGTCAGATACTTGCATGACACACCGGCTCAAACATGCAGAAGAGCATTTAACAAGGTTTGTGCACCACAACAGGCCAGAGATAATGGCTAAGAATTCACAGACCTACAGCTCAGTATGAATCTCCTCTGAGCAAAGTGGGGCATGATTTGAGGGCCCAGTGATGGAATATAGCAGTGATCTTTTTGGAGAGATGCTGGATTTGGACATTCATTCCTGAACTATTATATCCTGCACCTGGCGAATCTTAACATTCTTCCACTATCAATAAAACAAAAATTTCCAAACAGATGTTCTTTCCCTCCTCATGTTCTTCATTCTTTATCAAGAATGTGATTTGTTCTATTCAGTGTGGTTTGTTAAAATGCCACGAGCATTACAACCTCACTATAATTTAAAACGAACAAATCTATGTAGGTCACAGTTTGTTATCTGCACTGTAATGAAGTCAAACAGACAAAACACAGCGTGGGGGGTCCTGAAGCAGATTTAGAAGCCTGTATTGCTGTAGCGAGGATGCTTTAAGGGAGATGAATGCAGAGACGCAACCATCCAAACCAACCATTTTAGCCATCCAAAGTGCCAGAAGCATTTCTCAATGTGTCTCAAGTCTCCTGTGTTCACTCAACACTTTGGCATTTTGCACATTTTGCATATTGTTGTCTAGCTCTTTCTTAATGTAAGAACATATATGATAACTAGTCGTTCAGACAACTCACCATCTAGCTAATTTTGAAAATAACTGCATATCCATAATTGACAGCAGGATGAAATTGCAGGGGGAAAAAAAACATCAAATACATTTTTAACAGTCAAGCTCTTTTGCAACAAAATGATGCCATTTTTAAAAACACACCTAAGGTCAAAAGTTCAAACAGTAGAGGGGGAGAGGTTGAGCAGGGGAAATAATCTGGCTGAGTTATTTCTGGCAGCAATAGACGGTTGTGCTCAACCGTGTCACAAGAGCTATCAAGTAATGAAAGGTGAATAAAAGGCAATCCTTGAGGGAACAACTGCACTCATTCAAGCTTTTAGGGTGGTAAGATGCACCAGTCATCAATCAGAAACGGACGGTTTTTGTTTTATTTTTGGCTGATCTCTGTTTCAGACTTGCACATAAGCTGCATTGCAACTATTTCCAAAAATGGCATTTGTGTGGAAATACTACAAAGTCTGTAAACAGGGCATTAACAGAGGCGAGAGACGGGATATGCTGAAGTTGGACGCAAAGAAGAGAGTGGAGAAAATACAGTACCAGGCAGATCAAACTCACTGTTCTCTAGGGCTGTGTATTGCCAGCAAAGTCACAATACGATGCAGGGCTCTACGCTTACTTTTCTTTTTAGGAGCGCTTGTGCTATTATAAATTTAGGAGCACGGTCAAAAATTTGAGAAGTAGAATAAGAATAAGTTACCAATCAAATAAAATCAGTATTTAAGAAATATATTTGTGCTACAGAGTTGGCACACAAGAACACACAAGTGGCTTGAAGGTATATTTTCAGACGTTTAATGAGGCTCAGAGGTCGCATGAAGTGCAATTAAATTCATGTTGAGGTTAATGTTTTAAATATAACATTTTGAATATAGAAATATTAAATGATTTAAATAACAGAAAATATACTTTAAAAATTTAACTAAAACTGCCAGCAGGTGGCAGCAAGTCACTGATTTTATCACTGAATCATTCATTCAATTGATTCATCGAAAGGCTGATTCATTCAGGAACAAAGTACGTGACTGTCTTTATGAATGGGTAATTGAATCATTGACTCACTAGATTCGTTTAAAAACGCAGTTCATTCATAAACGAAACCGCTGTGTTTGAATGGAGATGCGCAGCGGCTCAGCTGTTACTTTGTTTGAAATCATTAATCAATTGCAAAATAAGGCAATTGTGTTGTTGTCAGACAATATAAGTCACTTAATATTAACTTATTGATTTAATACAACAGTTCATTAAACTAGATCACATTTGCAAACTCCCTTAATAATCATTAAAAGCTGTCACTCACAAAACTCCATTTTAATCGACGAAGCTCCCTACACTGCACAATGAATCTCTTATTTACACCCGGTCAACACTTTGTTTGTTATAATGAGAGGATACGTCTGTGATACATTACTCAACGCTGCAGAAACACGTAAGTACGTTAGAACCTTTGAAGCTCCCTCAGCACAAACACAAATATGCTGATCGGGTCAGTCGCACAGGTGCTCCTAAATATTATTTCATAGTCGCACGCAGTAGTTTTCAGTCGCAAATGCGACTGAAATGGTCGCACTGTAGAGCCCTGCCTCAGCGCTGCCCAGCATTTTTTTCAATAAAATAGCTTAACCGCTGAAGATTTATCTTTCTCAGCAAGGAGTTGGTAACATCATTGTTTTCGAAGCAATTAAAGCCACAGCTTCACTGTTAATAGAGAAGGTAAAACTGAGAGAACTGTTAAAAGAGAGGTAATTCATACATACACAGTCTCTCTCTCTTTCTCGTAAATGAACACGTGATGAATTACACTTTTCTGAGAATAGAATATTGAAGTGGAGATCGCTAAACCGAAAGCTTACTGGTGTTTTCAGAAAGCCAGCGCTTTTATCCACAGTGGAGAGAGAGCATGAGCACATGGTTGCCAAAAATAAGTAACACACTTAGCAGATATTTACGTATCGCGCAAGTGTGAAGCTCTGTTTCGGGGATTATGTCTCTTTATATCAGGCAACCCCGGTTGTGTTCCCTTGCAGCCAGATTAAACCTTGTTTTAGCCTAAATATTATACTCTCTTCATTATTTTTTTTTAGAAACCTTGCACTTTTCCACTCCATTTTAAACGCTGTTCTTTTATTCAAATTAAGCGCTGTCCACTGCTGCGAACGTGCTGCGGTATCAATACAGAAACAGCTGTATCGATTCCCGTATAGTCAAATAGTACGTGACGATACATTGTCATATCGATGTATTAAACACAGCCCTACTGTTCGCTATGCTCAAAATATTGGAAGAAAATCCTAAATACTGAATTGGGGGTTTATATGAATGTATCTATGAAGGGAACTAACTGCCTTCAAAATTTCAGAAGTTTCTTTTAATCTACCTCCATGTAATATCTAGTAGAGTTTACAGGGGAACAAGGGTAACGAAGGAAACACTATATTTCTGCTGTTCCAAAAGCACCACCTACTGTCAAAATTTTTATTCAGCCCATCTACTGTATTCATGCACTTCATGTACTTCTGTGGAACCTTCATGCACTCAACTGTCATAGCTTTCCTTATGCAGCCAGATTAAACCTTGTTTTAGCCTAAATATTATACTCTCTTCATTATTTTTTTTTAGAAACCTTGCACTTTTCCACTCCATTTTAAACGCTGTTCTTTTATTCAAATTAAGCGCTGTCCACTGCTGCGAACGTGCTGCGGTATCAATACAGAAACAGCTGTATCGATTCCCGTATAGTCAAATAGTACGTGACGATACATTGTCATATCGATGTATTAAACACAGCCCTACTGTTCGCTATGCTCAAAATATTGGAAGAAAATCCTAAATACTGAATTGGGGGTTTATATGAATGTATCTATGAAGGGAACTAACTGCCTTCAAAATTTCAGAAGTTTCTTTTAATCTACCTCCATGTAATATCTAGTAGAGTTTACAGGGGAACAAGGGTAACGAAGGAAACACTATATTTCTGCTGTTCCAAAAGCACCACCTACTGTCAAAATTTTTATTCAGCCCATCTACTGTATTCATGCACTTCATGTACTTCTGTGGAACCTTCATGCACTCAACTGTCATAGCTTTCCTTATGTGGCAGGAGTACACTTGGTTACAAAATAACCTTATAAAATGTATACACCAGAACGTAAAGTGCATAATGCACAGTATACAGTATACATTTAAGTTAGTTTTATGTTACTAAAAGTGATAACTTACCTCTACGACCGTGGTCTTCATCCTAGAAGAACAAATAAAAAAAACTACATTAATTTGTGTTTAAAAATATACAAAACATACAGAATTAAAATATATTAATGATAGAAAGCAGATACTATGAAACCCCAGTGAATGTAGTGATGCACACTACCTTAACATTGGAGTTCACCGCAGACTCCGGTGGGTACACAATGAAGTGACGCAGAGTGAAGCCGAAGCCTTGTGAAGTGCGACGCAGACGAAGCATCTTAGGGCCTGGCCAGGAAAATGGCTCTTCCTCCAACTGAAAGAGCACTCCTGAAGAATCATCCTGATCCACCACATCCTACAGAGAAACAGATAAAATCATGAGGAAGAAGAATGGCCACTGAGTACAACAGATCAACAAATCCAGATTAAAACTATTAAATGAAAAATTATGAATTTTATCATACATTTTATCTTATGAAAACATTCATTGGATGGAGAACGCATTGAAAGTTCTTTCTGCATATAAAATCGACTGGGGGGTCCAAAGGAAATTAAACTTGTATGACACAGGAAAGACTGAAATCTGTAAATTTTAGTGACGTACCATAATTAATTTTTTAAACAAAACACTAAACCAAAAGTAAAGTTTTCATTTAGCTGAAAAACTAAACCAAAACCGAAAATGGTGTTTAACAATCAATTAACTCAATTCAGTTAATAAAACAACACTCAATTAAAAACGGAGTTGTATGGCATCAAAATATTCCATCTGAGACATTTCAAAGCCATTTTGCCCAAAACCAAAACTTCGTATTTTAAATGAATATTTTCAGTTTCTGAAATTTTAGTGCATCACTGGTAACCATTCCACCCAAATCAATGCAAAAAACCCTGATCAGACAGTTTCATCCTGATCAGACTGTCCAGATCGTGCTGTATTGCCACTGACATTCACACCAGTGAATCACTTCTGTGAGCAAGAAAGCACTGAACAAGAGCTCTGCTGGCTTTCATAAGCAGAAGCAGTGGACAAAACACACCCCGCAGAAATGGCATAACTTGTTGCACATGAGGTAGAAGGACAAATTTGAGACATTAAATTTGACAGTCAAATTCTGTATAGATTGTATAGATGTATAGGTAAATATTTTAAACAGCCAAGTCAACAAACTAAAGCAGGATCAGCACAAAGATGAATCAGAACTGCTATGACATCATCATCCTTGACTTTTTCCTCTTCGTGCTGAGGAACACCCACTGAAGGTTGAGTCAGGACTAGCCTGATGTCATGTCTGTGTGGGTGATGTTTTATGCCTCATCTGAAGTTAATTTCCTTGAGGAGCTTATTTAAGGATAACAGAAACCACACACCAGTTCCCCCACAGGACGATTCAGTGTTCAAATTTGTTTTGCTGGCATTAATAAATCTCATCTATTTGTTTGTGGATTTGTTTGTTTTTCTGAAAATGAAAATGTATTTATTATTTTATTTACTTTAACAAGGCTCAAGTTGTGTAATTTGCTCATGATGATGTCTGAGGCCTAGGGATGTTCATTTTAACCATTTAACCGGTTAACCGACGGTAAGAATTTTGACCGATTAATACAATCAGTTAAACAGTTTAAAAAGTCATTTAATTATTTATTTTTTCAGTAATTTATCAAAATATTTAAAACGGTTTGCTGCATGGTTAAAATACGCAACGCGTCTAAAAAATTTGTTTTTTAGGGGGAAAAAACAAGTCGCGTATAAGTCGCATTTTATTATTTCATTCAGAAATAGGCCTAATGCCGACGCGAAATGTTTACAAACCTTATAATAAACACTGTAAACATAGCTAGGCTATTTTAGTTCCCCTCACTCCACAACAAAACCTTTCAATTAACAGTATTTAGAAAAGAACAAGAATAGCATTATATAGCAATATAAATGACAAGCCAAAACAAATTCATTTAGGTTAAAACGAAACTGAAACCAACGCTGGGTCTCTCACTTCACACAAAATCAAATGTTTCCTTATTCGCGATGTATTTGAATAGCAAATTATTATTTATTATGTACTTCACTCGCGTTCCAATATCCACGTAAAACAAAACATAACACATTTTGCATAACATCACGGCGGTACAGTGATAACACATAACCTTAACGGCTTAACAGATTTTACTACATAGTTTTTTTCCATGTGTTTGACTGACTGTATATATATATTATGATAATGAACAGGCTGCATAGTCAACGCAGCAATGCTTAACTGTGCGCGCATGCGGCGCAATCACTTGAATTTTTTTCCTTCTAACAGTGGAAGAAACTACTCCTTTTAGTCCTAAAGATAATCTGAATTGTAAAAGGTTTGCCTTTATTTGTGTACATTCACAATTAAAACAAATCTTTGTGCTTTTGTAAAATAAGCCTAAAGAAAAATAGGATGCCGCTTTCTGCCGTCGGTTTCCTTTCGCGCAGCACAAAAAATGAACCGAAACTCTGCATAGGCTACTTGTTTTTCTTTCATTTTCTTAATTTATAATTTAAGTAAAAATGTTTCTCGTATAGGCCTATTTATTTGTTTTATATATATATATATATATATATATATAAAACGAATT